GTATATGTCCCAGGACGGCACGATCCACCGCCAACACAACGGGAAAACCTACACGTCCGTCCGCCAATCCCTCCAGACGGTTTGGCGCGAGGAGGGGCTTCGGACGCTCTTTCGCGGGTGGCACATCGCCGTCGCCGGCTCCGCGATCGCGTGGGGGATGTACATGTCGATCTACCGCCTGCTTTGCAATCTGACCGAGTTCACCTCGTACGCGAGCCGGTTTATGCTTTCCCTGCTCGCGAGCACGGTGTCGTGTGGGGTGAGTAATCCGTTTTTTCTGATGAAATCGCGCATGCAGTTGGCCGAGCTCGCGAAGGACAGCGCCTATCGGCGCTTCGTCAGCGGCGTCCGGCACGTCCGGCGAACCTCCGGGGTCCTCGCCCTCTGGCGTGGGATGTCGCTTCAGATGATGTTGTTGTTCCCCAACGCGCTGAATTTGCCGACCTACGACTATCTCAAGTCGTTAATCCTGCGGTACCGCGTGGAGGATGCGGCGGGCTTGCCGGAGCTGAGCAATGGCGAGATCGCGCTCTGTTCCGTCATCACGAAAGTCTTCATTTTGCTTCTTTCGCATCCGATGATGACGGTGCGCGTTCGCCTGCAGGACCATCGCTCGCGAATCGGCGCGCCGCACTACCTCAACCCCCCGCAGGCCCTCGTGACCGTTCTTAGGCTGCAGGGTATCCGCGGCTTATACCGCGGCTTCTACGCCTCGATTATCTATACCCTGCCGCGTTCGATGATGTATTACATCATCTACGAAAAGACTCTGGGCCTGCTGTGAAAAATGGAAGCGCCAGAACCGTAGACTCTAATTATTTAAAGGACCTATAGTCGCAGAACTCCTTCCTATATCCCAATCTACCCACTCTGGTGCATTGGATTCTCTTTCCCACCACGATAAAAGAAGTAGCGCTAATAATCGATTTGGATTGTCATGGACATTTTCTATCATAAGCGGCTTGATTTCGTTCTTCCTTTTATTGAATTTTCTTTTTTGTAATATGGATACCATTTTTACCTTATAATTATGAACCTTGTACCTTTCTTTGATTTTCTCTATTGTCCGTATTTTTTTTTTATTATTTTACTTATGAAATTATATCTTCCGTTATTATAAGGCTTGCGATGGTTATCATTTTATCTGGAAATAATACAGAGGAAAAGGATTTGATTCAATTTTCATAATTATCTTTGGAGTTTTTTGAAGTCCTTAATTACCTGAAGGGGGAATACCCCTTCGCTTTATTGCGATTTTTAACTTCCCGTGTGATCTCAAATCGTGCATGTAGTAAAGAAGATCCCTAATCTTGATGTTGTATGGCGTTTTAAAAAAAACGACAGTTGATCTGAAGTGGCCCGCGCACGCGTCTTATAATGGACCTTATATCATTTATATCATTACTTTACAATTTGGGTTTTTTGAATTTTGTAGGTTGTGTGAGGGTGGCCTTCTTGTTTTTGTTTTGTTGGGGGGGTTTTC